CAGAGAAGAGGGCTCCGCTCCTCCTCGTCCAGGGGAGCGCTCGCCCAGAGAAGCGGGCTCCTCGTCCAGGGGAGCGCTCGCCCAGAGAAGAGGGCCCCTCGGCCAGGGGAGCGCTCGCCCAGAGAAAAAGGCCCCTCGTCCAGGGGAGCGCTCACCCAGAGAAGAGGGCCCCTAGTCCAGGAGAGCGCTCGCCCAGAGAAGAGGGCTCCTAGTCCAGGAGAGCCTCGTCTCAGGCACATCGTCTAGAGTGAGCAGCCCTTATGTCCAGCGCAACGAGAAGCTTCCTCGTCCAACACTGTTAACGCCTAGCATGCCAAAATCAGTCTTTTTTGATGGCCAAATTTTGACCTCTTTGAATGCCAAATATTATGGCCTTCTTTCGAAAGAAAGCCAAAGTTTTGTAATCAAAGCGGCCAAAAATTAGCAGCCTCCAAAAGACGGCCAAAATTTGGCAGTCAAAAAGGACTCATTTTGGCATTATAGGCGACAACAGCGTAACAGTGAATCAGAGGAGAGAGCCCATGGGATAATGTCGTCCGCCATAGAGACCACTCTCGTGCAGGGACTCTTCGGCATAAACCACCTCCTTCAGAGGAGACCATCTCAACCGGGAATAAAAGGGACTCCGAGAACTCCTGCTTGGCCTCCCACAGAAGGATTCCGCCCTCTTTTTCGAATGACCCGAATGACCCCTCACTTCACCCTCCTCCGCACTCCCGAGCCGTCGGCGAGGCCGCTGGCGTCGACAAGAGATGCCCGCGCCTCGCAGAACGATTGGGGAGGGGTAAAGGTGATTCCCCCCTTCTCCCCCTCCCCCGGAATCTAATCCAAACGGAGTGACAATAGCATCGTTCGCGGGTGCAGCCATAACACATATCCTATCCTATTAGGCGCTTCCACTGCTTTAGGGGTTGAGGGGGGGGGGGCAGTAAGCCATTGGGAAGGAGGCGGAGGTGGTGGTGGTAGTGTAGTAGTAATAGGTGGTGGTGGCAGACAGTAGCCAGCGCCGAAAACAGGCCGCACGGCGGCTCAGCAGTAGAGGTCGATCCAAACTTCACCTTTTCTTTTCTTTTTCTTCCTTTTCTCTGACTTGTCATTTCGAAACGTGAGCCCCGCGCGGTTGCGGCGGTTGCGCGGCCTCGTGTGTGAAAGTAACTTGGTGTGTGTGAGCGGGAGGCCCGTACAGGGTGCGCAGCGAGGGACCCCAGGGGAGGAGGATCCCCCAGGGGGCGTGGCGTGGCGGGGCGTTGCGGGGCGAGGCGGGGCGGGGGGCGCGCCTTCAGGGGCTTCCTTGGGGCCGGCCGGCGGTGGTGCGAGGTGCGTCCCCCCGCCGCGCGCGTCCCGCCCCTGCAGCGTAAAACTGACCCCGCCGGCGACCTGCGACCTGCACTGCACCCCCCGGGTGGGGCCTCCTGGCCCCGGCTAAATGTGCAGCAGGGAAGCCGCCCGCCCCGCCCGAGGGCCGGCCAGGCCACACTGCAACCACCGCCAGGAGGACGCCACCAGCCGGCAACCCCCAGCCTTCCGACTGCATAGGGGCACATCCCCAGTGGAGTACCCCGCACCCGCCCACCACTCCCTTCGTTGGACTGCACCGCACGCACCCCTACCGAGGGTTCCTTCACTAGTGAAAATTGTGTCCAGGGACAAAACGGGTGCAGGTCGCCGTTTACGGCGTAAGTTGCTTTAAAGACTATAGGAAGAAAAATGGCTGCAAGCAAAGAAACTGCAAATTTTCCTGCATTTCTCAAGAGCACGCAGTAGGCATCATGCAAAAAGTCCACCCTTCAGTCGCCGTTACGAACCTGCCATGTGCAGGGTATGCAAGCTGTCGGAGCGCCTGATGGGTAGGCAACATCTTGCCTGCCGTGCATGCGTGCACCGCGGGGTGGCCTACCCCGAGTCTCACAGGCGCCAAGCCAAGATCCCTAAATTTGCAAAATGAATCTGCAAAAAGCGGACATACCGGGGTGTATCAGAACACACGCCGCCACGCAGCGTTGCAGGTGATTGACTTAGGCTGAAGCTGAAGGGGTCATAACGCCTTACGGGGAGAAGAGGTGGCAAACCCGCACCACTGCCCGCACCGCGCACACACACGGTACGTTCAGGACGATTCCGAAAACGAGGGAGGGGGGGGGGCACAGTCACCCCGTGCAACACTCGTCCACACAGACACCACCCGCTCGCAGGCCACCCTCCGGGCACAACAGGGCCCCTCGCGCGTGTCCGACAGCCATAGCCAGCCTGCCCGACATTTCATCAGCGGCACAAAAGCCCGCGCGAGGCGCCCCTCCGGGCTGGCGGGCCGGCGTATCTTCGCCGCGCTCCGGTCGCAGTTACGCCCCCCTGGCTCGCTCCCCGCAATCGATGGATGGGAAGGATACCACCGGGCCGGACGGCGAGAGCGAAGAGAAAGAACGGGCTGTCCTTTACATAGAAGGGTGAAATGTCAAAGCCACCACCACCACCATCACAAACTTTCGGATACACAGTCAAGATTTTCTCTGGAAAAGCCATACGTTTGTTTGCTCTACAAAGCGCGACTGCCGACTGCACAGTGGCCACGCCGCAGTGTGTAGCACCTTCATGATTTGGGTTTGTTACGAAGCATATCTTGAAAAATGTTAATGTAACCATGAGCACATGGAATCCTGGTTGCGTTCGTCACACAAGCTAATGTATTCCAAAGCGCTCTTTTTTTCCGCGACGAATAACGCCCCTGTGGGCAGGTTCAGGTCCACCTCCTCGTCCCTGAAGTCACGCCGTGCCAGCGCGGTGTGGCACGGGGCCAACCCCACCACCACCGCTGCCGCGCGGGCCCTGACCCTCCCTACGTCACGCTGCCGTCACACACCGTCACACACTCACCTTGACGACGTCACAGGTGCCGCGGACATCGCCATCCGCGGCCGATCGGCGGCGGCAGCGGCAGGTTTCACCCCAAAAGGCATTTTCCCCTCGTGATTTCGATGAGAATGTGAACCCCTCTGCTCCTCCCCGGCCCGCCTGGCCCTGGGACACCACACGCCGCCGCAGCATGCGCCGCCCATGTGAAGCTCACGCACGGGCAATAGTCACGCGTTTTAGTTCCTCGTCGACGGCGCGTCCGCTCGAGGAGTTCGGGACCCCCGTGTCGCGCGGCGTTTAGACTCGGCTCGGCACTTACTCGCCACGTGAGTTTGTCTTATCGCAGTCACGTTGGGAGGAGAGGAGAGAAGATGAGAGAAGAGGGGGCGGCGGCTCGGGAGGAGAATTTGAACGAGAAAAAAAAGTGATACGCATCCAACCACTTGCGCTACGGCCCGGGCGGAGGGTGCCACACTATCGCCACTTGTTATTGCAGTGTACTTTCGTTCAACGCCCGCCGTGTGCAAGGGCGTTAAGGTGCGCTGCCTGCCCGCTATGCCCGTGAGAGAGCAGGCGCGGGTGCGAGGCCGCGGGATAGAGGACGACGCGGAGGCGGAGTCCGCGGGGTAAAGGGGGTAAAACTATCAGCAATGTTCAGGACCAAACGACCGGAGCTCACATAGAGGCCCCATATGATATCTGTACAACAGGGATACAAATATCATGACGGGGATCCCTGTGAGCTCCAGTCAGTGGTATGGTCATAACTCGGCCGAGGGTGTTTGGATCCAGCCACTTAACAATAGTCCTGAAGAGCTATAGTTAAAGAAACATACTAAGGTGCACGTCATAGCAAAAGTGCAGCCCAAAACGGATTGCTATGCAACTGTGACCCTTGGGATAGGGTTCATCAGTTCCCCCTTGCCGTAACAATGCTTGTGGAATGCGTTTTTAAACAGGAGGCCCTACACATCCTTGCCCCCCGCCCGCCCCGCGGATGGAAGGCGCGACAGGCAGGCAGGCGGGCGGGCGGGCCGCGGGCCGGCGGCATAGAACGTTGGCGTGGCCCAGATGAGCGCATCGCGCACGCCCCGCGACCTTGCCCGCGCCCCGCCCGCCCCGCCCGGGCCACACTGCCTCGTGACGCGGGCGGGCCCGTGCATACATCACAAGCCCCTCCGCGCCGCGCAGCGGCTGCTGCCAGGTGACAAGCGGACCTCCTCACTATACACGGCCAGCAAAAAAAGACAAGAAAACGAGCAAAGCCGCGCGCTTCTATTCCTGAACATGACTCGGAGCGCCGCGCGAGTCGTCTATGCCGGATCAAACGGTGTGACGCGTTGTTATATTACTGTAAAATTTTAAATCGTCACTTTACGAAAAAGTCACTCCTTCATTTTAGTTAACGAGTTGGTTCGCCACAAGGGGTGAGATGGCTGTTTCGTCACAATGTGACGAATGGTTTGTCTCAACCCTTGGGACAAATGATTCAGTTTAGTGATACTAGCAATCGGTAATAGCGGGTGACACACGCGTCGGCGCGCGGCAAGGGCCGGACCGGCAAGGGAAGTCCTGCGAGCTGCGAGCGGTGCTATAGTCAGACCAGCCTAAGGTCGCTACTGAAAAAGCATAGGCAGCATAGGGATTTCAACAGCGTCCGATCGCGACCTTAGTCTGGTCAGACTCCTGCACCCCTGTCAGGTCGTTTCCTTTCGCAGAGCCGGAAAGGTCGGCGCCGATTTTACTTTTTTTCCGCCGATCGCGTGGACTTGCAAGCACGCCGCGGGGTGGCGGCGAAGGGGACGCGGGGGGGCTAGACTCGGGGCCATGAGGTGGGAATCACAAAAATAGCCAGCGGCCTGCCACGGGAGGGGGGGGGGGCTGCCCCCCGGCCAGCCAAACAACCCCAGAGCAGCCACACCCTCCTCGCGGCCGCACAC